GGGGCAGGGGTTGGAGCTGGAGGAGCTTTAAGGTCCCTTCCAACACAAACCATGTCATGATTCTGTGATGACACTGGGAGCTCTCCAGCGCCGATGCAGGAGGTGAAACATGCAGCTCATGGGCACGTCCTGGCTCACAAACCCCAACAGGAGAGAGGATGGGGACAGGGACGGCCTGAGCTTCCTGTGATGCCACCCCTGTGGCACCGGCTCCCTCCACGCCTGGTAGTGAAGCCACGGCGCTGGCTCCGATTGTTGTTCTGGGTACCCGGCGGCAGCACCTTGGGCTCGGTGGCGAGCTGGGTGCGTGCCCAGGCTGGGGTGGGTGTTCTGGATGCCCACCCCTGCCCGAGCACCTCCATCCCTGCCTAATAAAAGAGGAAAACAATTGTGGGGCACGTGGGGACATCTTTGGGGGGTCACTGTCCTCATTTCCCTGCAGGGACACGTTGGGCTGTGCACAGCACTCACACCGCTCCCCAGCTCAGCACGTCTCCTTCTAATGCAGCCCCTCAGAAGGACAAACACCCATCCAGACACCCTGCACCCGGGTGGTCCCATGGGTATCTGATGGTGCTGCGTGGATGGCTGTGTCCTCTGGGTGCTGAGCACCCATGGGCCCTTCTGGAGGCTCTGCATGGCTCCAGTCCCTCCTTGTGGACTTGGGTGCCTGCCTGGTTCCCATCCCTGCTCCCTGCCCATTGCCCCCAGCTGGGTTGGCTCGGGGGATGCTGCGTGGTGCTGGGGCTGGCAGGATGGGTCCTTATCCTGCTGTCCTGACAGAGTCTGGCCGCTCTATGGCTGAGCGATGGGCTCAGCACCAGTGACTCCATCCATCCTTGCTGGAGGCCCTGGCACCACTGCTGGTGATGAGTGATGGGTGCTGCTCCTGCTTGGGGCTGGTGGGAGCTGGAGGGGGCTCGGGAAGGGGCACCCCCCTGGCACTCACCCCACTCGCGTGGGGCTTTGCATGGCTGGGGAAACACCTTCCCACCTCTCCTTACTGGGACAATTAGGGCTGGCCCTTAACAAGGCACTCGGCTGAGCTGCAAACCTGGTGCTCAGCAACTTCCCTGCCCCTTGGAGCTCCCAGCCTGGAGCTGGGGGGAACGGTGCCTGGTTAATGATTCACGGTGGGTAAGCAGAGGGTGTTTACCCAGCACAGATAATCCCAGCCCAGGCTCTGCAGGCTGCTCCCGCAGGGACAGCACCAGGCTGGGGCCACGGGGCTTTGCTCAGCATCACTCTGCAGCTCGGAAAGGGCACGGTGCTGCACCGGGACCCTGCTGCCACCACCAGGCCCCTGCTCTGCTCCTGGGGCTGGGGATGCTTTGCCATGGTCAGCAACTGGGTTTCTGGCCTGAGGAGGGGAGATGAAGAGTGAGAGGATGCCATTTCCCACCCTCTGCTCAACGTTCCTGTGACAAACCAGGAAATGTGACGTGGAAAACTCCTGTTTATTCACCCTGAATGAAAAACCAATACACCAGGAGGGTGAAGGGGCAGGGAGCATCCGTGCCCAGCATG